GAAACAGCCCAAGTGCCCATCAACTGGAAACTGGATAAAGAAGATGTGGTTTTTTAATAAAATGGAGTACTACTCAGCCATAAAGAACGAGAGACTAGAGTCATTTTTGGCTAAATGGATGCATATTGAGGCCATACTCTTAAGTGAAATAAATAGGACATGAGTAAATACCGAATAGTATCTCTAGTGTGAGAAACTGAAAGTGTAAATAAGGATGAAAATGATTAAAACTAGTAATTGATAATTTGAAATAGGAAAAGGTCCAAAGGTGGAGGGGTGGTGGGAGGGGAAAGAGAAAGGGAAGAAAGGAAAGGAAAAATTATGAGAAAGAAAAAAAAAATGGAAACAAAGTCTATGTAAATAGGGAAGGGTGCACAGGTAATGGGGGAAAAAATAAGAACTAAGTACATCATGTACAGGTACAAACATCCAATGATAAATGTAAATGTATTGTATCCCTAAAATGTACCAATTAATACATATATTAAAAAAAACACCTGCCAACATCATACTAAATGATCAAAAACTGAAAGCTTTCACTCTAAAATCAGGATCAAAACAAGAATGTCCACTATCACCATTCTTATTCAATATAGTTCTGGAAACATTAGCCAGAGCAATTAAACAAGAGAAATAAAAGGATTAAGAATCAGAAAGGAAGAAGTTAAATTATTATCTTAATTTGAGAATGACATGATACTCTACATAGAAATTCCCAAAAACTCCACCAAAAGACTTCTAGATTTAATAACCAAATTTAGTAGCATAGTCGAATACAAAGTCAACACCCAAAAATCAATACATTAATAATCAACCATTCCTGTACACAAATAACAAACTCACTGAGAAAGAAATTAGGGAAACTATACTTTTCACAACAGCATCCAGAGAAATGAAATACTTAGGAATCAATCTAATGAAGGAAGTAAAAGACCTTTATATTGAAAACTACAGTCCTCTGAAAAAGGAGATCAAAGAAAATATCAGAAAATGGAAAGATATCCTTTGTTCTTGGGTAGGAAGATCCAATACAGTGAAAACTGTCATATTTCTAAAATTGGTATACAGATTTAATGCAATCCCAATCAAAATATCAATAGCATAGTTTGCAAAATTAGAGAAAACAATTTGAAAATCCATTTGGAACCCGAAGTAACCTAGAATAGCAAAAGCAATTCTGGGCAACAAAGGCAAGGCAGGGGGCATCACAATCCCTGATTTGAAATTATATTACAAAGCCACTGTGACAAAAACAGCATGGTACTGGCCAAAAAGTAGGTCCAAGGATTAATGGAACAGATCACAGGACACAGAAACAACTCCAAACACACTTAGTCTCCTGATCTTTTACAAAGGAGCCAAACACCTTCACTGGAAGAAAGGTAGCCTCTTTAAAAAATGGTGCTGAAAAAACTGGCTTTCTATATGCTGAAAATTAAAACTAGACCCATATCTTTCACCACGCACTAACCTAAAATCAACATGGATCAAAGATCTAAATATTAAAACAGAAACACTAAATCTGCTGGAAGACAGAATAGAACTTTTGAAGACAAAGTTATAGGCAAAGACTTAATGCACAAAACACTGATTGTACAGGAAATATTACAAAGAATCAACAACTGGGATCTCATCTTATTAAAAATCTTTCGCACAGCAAAAGAAACTATCAACAGAGTGAAGAGAAAACCCAAAGAGTGGGGAAAAAAATTTTTTCCAGCTGTTCCTCAGACAAATGAGTAATATCTAGAGTATACAAAGAACTAAAAAAAAAAAATCAGATTCCCCAAATTTAAAGAGCCAATCCAAAAATGGGCATCTGAAATGAATAGGCACTTCTTAGATGAAGAAGTAGAAGTGGCAAATAAAAATATGAAAAAAATGTGCAATATTTTTCAAGATGCAAATTAAAACAACACTGAGATTCCATCTCACTCCAGAAAGAATGGCTGTTATCAAGAAATCAGCCAATAACAAATGCTGGCAGGGTTGTGTGGAAAAAGGAACCTTTCTCCACTGTTGGTGGGAATGTAGACTGATGCATCCACTGTGGAAATAAGTAAGGAGATTCCTCAGAAAACTAATGACCCAGCTAGTCTCCTTCTTGGTATCTTCCTGAAAGAATTAAAAGCATCACATCACAGCAATATATGCACATCCATGTCTATAGAGGCACAGTTTGTAATATCTAAATCTTGGAAACAGCCCAATGTCCATCAACTGATGAATGGGTAAAGATGTGGTTTTTTTACACAATGGAGTACTACTCTGCCATAAAGAAGGATAAACCTGAGACATTTTTAGGTAAATAGATGTACCCTGAGACCATACTCTTAAGTGAAAAAAATCAGAAACACATCTTTAAATGTCACATTGTTTCTCTGGTGTCAGAATCTGAAAGGATAAATAAGCACCAAAATGAATAACAGATATTGGGAAATAGGAAGAAAATGTTCAAATGGGAAGAAGAAGGGAGAAGGAGGAGGAAAGGAAGGGAAAAGAAAAAAGAGAACAGAAGGAAAAATGAAAACAAAGCTTTTGTAAAGGGAATGAGGGGTTGAAGGGAACCCGCCCAATTCTTAGCAAGTTGTCCCTAAAACATGTCTGAGTGAACCTGAGTGCTGCCCCAGCCCCATCTACCTATGAAGAGAACTTCTGTACCTGGTTCAACACCATGCTGGAGGCGTGAAGGTCAATAGCAGCCAGAGAAGGTATTCGTGATTCGGGAAGAATTTTGTTCTCTTTCTTTATTAGTCTAGAATTTCGAGCTATATAAAAATAACCATAAATACAATGAAAACATTAGACATTCTGCTAGTTTTTCATATTCTCTATCTGTCCCTCAGTATGACTTATTACACAGATGTATATATTTACGTATTTAAATATGTAAAGTTACATAAATTTTTATTGCTGCTATTCTGTCAGTTTAATATAATTTTAAATAATGTAAACAAAAGGGCTGATAGAATTGAAGCACCACAACCGTACCCATGCCTTCCAGGGCTTTCAGTTCAGGGAGATGACGGTAGCTCAGTTCAGGCAACCGCACCTCTGTCTTGGCATGTTCCCCTCGCTTCTTATTTGCCTGAAGGAGGTTCTTCTCACTGGAGACCTGCTAATGTCAGAATGGTTAACACAGATAAACCAGCTCAAGGTATGCTAGAGTTTCCTTCCTTTATAACTACTATATATGTATCCTAAAAGGTGTGGATTTGAAGGGCTGGAATGATTAAAAAAAAAAAATTGAAGGATAGTAACAACACAAAAAACAATTTTATACCTCTTCCTCACTAAACTTGATGACAGGTGGCTACGCGAATCGCTCTGTTTCTCCCCCTCCCTCCACCAGTGCTCAGCACCCCAGGAGCAGCGAATGGTTTAAAGACAGCAGGGTGTGCTGGTCCTTGGTCTACCTGCACCTCCTGGCTTCCCTTGAGCCTGACTGTCACTGCCTCGATTTGAGTGGTTTCCCATACATGTCCTGTCACTTCTCCTCTGAGCCTGTTTCTTACTCTCCCAGGAAGATCTTGTTGCTCATTTCCTATGTATGCCTTTGTTAGCACACGAGACTAACTCCCCAGGATTTAAGTTAAGTAAAACACAACTTCAATTATTTTCCTAATCTTTCTTATCACTTCATAATTGATAAAATCAGAAAAAATCATAAAGCGAGGAATAGAAGCACTTGAATTCTGCAACTTTATAAATTTGATACTTTTCCAATCTTTTTCATTTAAGAACTGCAGAAACTCTACATTCTTTTCCACATTTTCCAAATAAGTGATTTTCTAAAAAAAAAAAATGATGAAATCATATATGTGTCTGTATACACATGTCTATATAATGAACACACAGCAAGCACAAATGCAAGGCCCATGCCAAGCCCTGGGGTCCCTGACACCTTGAGTACAACACTGCTGGCCTCACAGGTTCTGCAGAGTGTGGTTCCTTTTGGAAGTTTCTGCTTACTCTTTTAATAGAACAACTGTACAATTAAGGCTTCACTTTATGCGTCCAGATGAAACTCCCAGTTCTTCACTATCCCAGTTAATACTCATACAAGTCCGGAGCTGACGCATGCTTGCTCTCCTGCTCCTGAGAACACTTCACTTACCAATGTGGGCACATTATTATAAATTCCTGATGGAGAGTGTTTATTTGGTTTAACAAATGGAATGCAATACTTCTTAGTTTTCTCATCCACTCTGTAACAAAAACACGTTTAAGTTAGAAGCAGCGATAATTATTTTTTCAAGTGCAAGCCCAAATGACATATCATCAAGCCACACGTGGCTTCAGACAGAGCCTGTGTTCAAATACACAAGTGATACCGCTGGGGGCTTGGTCTTTGCCTCTGCATTCACACAGCCCATGTCATGCCCACTCCTCCAATCAGCTAACTTCCTTTTTGCAAAGTCCCCAAAGGGCTCCTTGATAACTAAAGTCTCACACCAGGCAGCGGCAGAGCCCAGATCAGCTCTCCCTCTATCGTGACAACCCACTTTCAGTTACTAGGCTAACTGGGTTAAACCACACAGCCCATGTTCTTAGGGAATTTTTAAAAATCAAATCCTAATAATTTCCATCACACAGGTTAAAAAGTTTTGCAACTACTAGCTGACAAGAGGAACTCCAGAATTGAGTGTAAAACAATGTGGTGTAGGTGAATCAGCAAGCACTTATAATTTGCAAACATACCCTTACACACTTTGTCCTTGTTTTCCAAATCCATACCTGTAACTCTGGACTCCAGGGTTACTGCCAGGAGCTGCTGCAGAGGGAGTGTGCACCAGCGGGGGGATGGCCACCCCAGGGACCCTGGTGGCCTGGCTGCCGTGGTCCCCAAGGCAGCCTGAGGGCACTGCCGGGATGTGTCTTGTCCCACTGGTACGAAGACAGCTGGCATTGGAAGCTCTAGTGCCCTTTTCAGTTTTCTCTCCATCAACTTTTGATGCTTTTGTTTTAAATACTTTGGAATCCTTAATTTTGGTATCAGCATTGGTATCCTGACCATTAATAAAAATGTTAAGGTTAATGATCTAAAAAAGTGAAAAATGACCTCTTCCTATACTTTTACCTAGAGCAGAATCTGTCCATTCTCCTGGCATCTTTATTCTGTCTATGGAATTAAAATTAAATCCAGATTCATATTCAGATAGTTATTGTGAAAATACAAAAAGAATAGGAACACAATTCACACTAACTCTGACATACATATTTGTGTGTGTATATGTAAATTTCAGTGGCAAAAAACATGGACGAGCAATCAAGAGTGTCACTTTGTTCTGATATATTCAGGGTTAGGAACACAAAATTGTGAACACTTTCTTCTTTTGGTACACTTCATGGTAATGGGTTACCTTATCAAGAACAGATCCCAGGAAATAGCAATTTTTAAATGCTTCACTCTATAGAAAATTCTAAAAGCAATTGTCCTCACACCATTTTAGGAAAAGAAGTAGGACCAGTGTGCATGCGCATGTGTGCGTCCCCTGTGCGTATGCACATGCATGCGCGTGTTTAGACATTCTCTGGGTGAGTGTGGAGCTGAGGCTCTCTGAGGAAGCCACGTCTGTAAAACAGGCCCTGCAGATTGTCTGACCTTGGCTGGCTCTATCACCACAAATGCTGTAGGCGGAGAGCTAAACGTATCTCAGGTCATCTTAGGCCTTCACCTCAACCTTAGTACCTGAGCTAACACCCTAGTGACCATGAGGCAAAGGCAGGGTGGTAGTGCTCGTTTAGCGGCTCTCAGCCTCTACTACCCTGAAAGCTACAGAAGAGATCCCGGCTTGGCTGCAGCCCACGACCTGGGGCCCCGCGATTGAGTACATATACTCACTCGATTCATGACCTTCTTTACTTTGTTACTATAAAAACTCGTGTCACCTCTTTCACAGTAGAAAATGTCACTGAGGGTACCCTGAACTTGTGTTCCCAGGCCACAGCCTCTCCTGTTGGCTTGGAATGAACTGTTTTCTGACTTCCTTTAAAGGAGAGTTGTTATTTTACACCAACAAGTTAAACAAGCACTACTGCATAGTCAGGTACATGGTAGGGACTCGGAACATAATACAATTTTTAAATAGGTAATATCAACAGGGAAGATACACTTACAACAATACCAAAAATTAACAGCTTGCTCACCACTCAAAAATCTTTTTTAAAAATGTCATTTCCTCCTCTTCAAATTTAAAATTTAAAACATGAACATTTACCTGTACCACAAGTGTTTTTCTTTCTTCACCTAAAGATTCATCTTTTTCCTTTTCCTTCTTTCTGCTTTGGGATTTTTTAGGCAAAGAAATATTCCTGGCATCTTTCTGTATTTTTAGCTGTAGTTCCCTGGAGAATCTATACAAAAATAACATTTTCCAATAAAATAAAGTTGTAGGAGACATATACACGTAGGAAAATACTGACTTTTCAAGATAAATTTTTAAAAATTGAGTGTTGAGCTAGTTATGGTGGTGCATGCCTGTAATCCCAACACACAGGAGGCTGAGGCAGGAGCATCACTGTGAGTTCGAGGCCAGCTTGGGCTACATAGTGAGTCCAAGGCCAGCCTGAACAGAGAGATCCTGTCTCAAAAAACTGAAAACAAAACAAAATAACTGAGCGTTGAACTACAGGCGTGATGGTGAACGTTTTAGAGCTTTTAATGATAACAAACCTATGGGTTCACCACCACTGAACTAGAGTATTAAAATGAGAAAAGTCATGCCCCAGATCAACAGTTTGGAAAGGAAAAGGCGCTCTGTAACCTTTGTGGACTCCTGGGGCTGTTTCAGGAGGTGCACAAAGCCCACACTGGTCTCCCCTTAATGTGAAAATGCTGTCTTGTTGCTCAGTCAGTGCCAGCCCTGATGGTGATGCAGAGACAACTGCTGGTACCACCCCAGAGCCCTATCACCTCCCTCCATTGCCCCACATTCTCATAGAGAAGAAAGCAGCTGCACCCAAGACAGTCCTGGAGAGGTGGTAAACAGCATGATTTTATTAACCCTAAGCCTTGGAATGCACTTTTCTTCAACACTCTGACAAACACGTACACACTGTGCACCTGGGACCACTGCTTTGACAAGCATTGGTCTGACCGGGACACAAACACAACTAGACTTGCCTTTCATAAAATATTATTTTTACTAGAAAGGAAGACTGCCAGAAAACCCTGGTTATTCAGTCTTGATGGATGTGGTAGACATTTTCCTTCAAAAACGGAAAAGTGAATTTGTCACTTCAAGAAACACAACTGATGGTGGTGCATGCTTGTAATTCCAGCACTTGGGAGGCAGAGGCAGGAGGATCCCCATGAATTCAAGGCCAGCCTGAGCTACATAGTGAGTTCAGGGCCATCCTGAACTAAAAAGAAACACAGCTGAGGGGCTGGGAATGTAGCTCAGCGGCACAGTGCTTGCCTGGCAAGCCCGAGGCCCCAAATTTGAGTCCTGATACAAAAAAAAGAAAAAGAAACACAACTGATAATACTTGTCAATGATAAAATTTAAAATTTTATGACAAAATTAGAATTCTGTGCAGGGTTGGGGATTTAGCTCAGTGGTGCTGCCGCCTGCCTCGCAAGCACAAGGTCCAGAGTTCAATCCCCGGTAGCAAACAAAAACCAAAAAAGAATTCTGTGAAACTTGTGATCTTAGAAATTTCTCAATAGTTAAAATGTTTTCTGATGAGATGGAATGTGAACTTTTAAAAATTATATAATGAAATATATCAACATTTTTAAAATCTGCACAATTTAGTCAAATTAGAATTTTTCCAAAGACTAACGAATGGTATTAATAAAGCATGTATTAGTAAAAGAACTGTTCAGAAAACAAAACAGAAATGGGTTTTAATGCAATAGGTGAAGTGCACTGATGCAGTTTCAGATTCCAGTGTAACATATTTACAGAGGAACCAGGCCAAGTTCTAATGTAGCATCAGAATTAGACACAGAATCAAAGAATACCCACAACCACTTAAAAAGGCTATTAAAATACTCTTCCTTTATCCCAAATACACATTTGTGTGAGGCCAGTGTTTCTTCACATATTTCAAGAGTTCAAGAGCAGGGGCTGGGGATTAGCTCAGTGGTTCCGGTGCTTGCCTTGCAAGTGCAAGGTCTCGAATTCGATCCCTGGTACCAAAAAAAATAATAATTACTAGACTTTGGGGCCGGGGATTTAGCTCAGTGGTTTTGCTGCCTGCTGCGCAAGTGCAAGGACCGGAGTTCGATCCCCGGTACGAAAAAAAAAAAAAAAGAGTTCAAGAGCAGCTTGAATTACAAAAAAAAAGAACCCATTATCTTTCCTATTAAGCTAAATGTTAATGAAATTTGTAACTATAAAGCAATGTCGCAGCCCCTGATCTCACTGTTTTCTGTTCTGTCAAGCTGCACTGAGGCAACACCTGGACTAGCAGAGATGGAGACAGCAGCTCTGGCACCCACAGCCCAGGCAACACCAAAGGTCTCCAGTAGCACTGGAGTGTGACTGGTACGAGGGGACACAACACCTTTGCAGACACACAACACCAAGGTGACAGCATCGTACGGCAGGCAGCAGCCTACGAATTGGGGACCTGATGCAGATACCACACCAGGAGACAGGAGAGCAAGTGGAAGTGACTGCTTCATGACACCAACACAGGAAATCACCCCAGGCTCTACACTGCTGCTAAGGTGGATGGGTGCACAGAAGAGGGGACAGTGTGTAGACACAGGCAGTGACCAAGCAAGATGGCTGTGGAAGCCTCATCCTCCAGACACACCACTCAGCCCCCTGGCCTAGCCAAGCGGTCAACACCGTACCTCTCAGCAAACCCGTCCATTTGGAAGAAGGCGTGGTGCAGGAGCTCGGCACACAGTGGCCTTTTGTCGGGGTCAACATGTAAGCATTTCTGAAAAAATTAAAAACACAATTCTTAACCAAAAAAACTGCCTAAATTTAAATTTCTAGATACTGTATAGGAAAATAGAAAGTTCCCCATTACAGCCAATGAATTTTAAACATCTATATTCAAGAATAAAGTACAACTCCAGAAAATGACTATCAATGGCTGCTAATATCACAGAAAGAAAAATCACCACCCAGTGTCTCTAAGAGGGAATAAACAAACTCCCAGGAAGTAATCCTGTGCAAACCAAATCTGATTCTGACCACGGTCTAGCTCTCCTGCAGGTTCCACTACACTATGGGGATGGTGGAATGGGGCACAAAGCCTAGCTGCTTAAGTACTTTGCAAGGTTTAAAGAGAAAAGAAAGATTAAAAGAACCTTATACTATAGCAGCACCACTCATAATTGCTAAACCTTGGAAGCAGCCTATATGTCCATCAACAGATGAATAAAGAAAATGTAGTATTCAACGTTGAGTTCCTAAAATGAGGGGAGAAGTGCTCCTTCTTTTTTCTGCTTTGTTTGATATAATTTATCAGTTAAAATGTATATGAGCCTGCTGTTGTCATATAGGTAGGTTTTCAAGCTAGGAAT